TTTAATTATTCATTTATTCACCAATTCCAAAAAGGCAAACCAGTTGACTATTAAATGTCCTTTTAGCTATGGGATGAAACGTTACATGAAGTAAAAGAAATATTAAAAAGCCATTATCTGTCACAATTCTAATTCGTATATAAGAGCTGTGACACGAATAGGCACGGAATTTCTCGATGTGATAAATGTATTTGATACCAAAAACTCATAACAAGCAGAAATTGGTTGCTATGTGTCATGATTACCATTGCAAAATGCACCAGAGGATATCTGACCTATGTAAGTCCGTTCATACCTTTGTACGTCAATTAGGCTTGGAGGTAGCCATCCAATATCCGTTATTCCTCCAAAGCTACCTGATGAATTTTAATGAGACTTTCGCAGAATCTTTATGACATATTGCAATTGTGCACCTTTTATTCTTTTCAATTAGAACATATTTGGGGTTTCCCAGATAAAAACATGGATACTGCCATTCTCTTTATAGGACTTGTTTTAATAACTTGATTCTTCTCGCTCTTCAATAAATTGAACAAAGCTATGTTCTTGCTTATTGGCCAACGTTTTTAAAGCTGCTTGGTTGAAGAGCGGAGTCAAATCAAACAAGAACAAAATTTGTAAGGTTATAAATAGATTTTAATTTGTACTATTTATGCAAAAATGAACTTCACATATACAGGCATAAGTGACCTAAAAACCCTAACATAGGTCCCTGCTGACATTAAAAGCTTTCACCAACGACTATGTGTAGCTCTTTCTTTCGTAGGGGCGGTAGTTCTAATAAATTCTTGTTTTTAATGAGTTGCAAAACATATATTTAGATTTTTGAGTAACGGGCTGTCGAATCCTGCGTAATACCTAGTTACGCGTTGTCATGTACTTAGCTAATCTGCATCCAGGAAGACAGCCAGTGAACGAAAATTAAAGAATAGGGTGGGGATAGCTCTGAATGTTTTGTAATGCGAAAAGAAACTTCATAAAGAAGTGAATAATAATATATGGGTTACCCATCTCTTATCCACATCTTCTCCTATATACCACTGAATAAAATTTAATGCGATTTTCACGGAATTTTTATTATAAAGTGCCTTTGAGTACCTTTTATAGTGCTTTTCGATATGATCTTATTTGGGGTTTTTAATAGCAAATCATGAACACTGCAATTTTAAAAATAAAGGGTACCCAACTCTTATCCGTTATTCCTCCTATGATTTGAGTACTTAATAAAATTTAATGAGACTTTAATTCAAAGAATTTTATTTGCACAAAATCCCGTTTTGACCACCTATTTTACGTTTCGATCGGACAGACGTATATGAGGCTTCCCTTAGAAAAAGATGGACACTAGTAATGCATTCTTTCCATAATATTGGGGGTGAACATCTCTTATCCACAAGTCCTCCTATTCCAATGAATAAAGTTTAATAAAACTTTCATAGAATTTTCATTACATAGTGCCGTTGTGTACCTTCTTAATTTTGCGTTTCGGTCAAAATATATTTGGGGATTTCCATAGCAAGGCATATACTTTGCCGTTATGTTCATATGGGAGCTAATAAATATATGCTGAAATGCATGCTCTAACCAGTAGTTTAAAGGAAAGTCGCACTAAAACGCAGGGAAACAGCAACAGAATGGATATAATTGTTTACAAATGCTGAATAAAGTTAAGAAGTGTGAGGGGCCAACATTTTACATGTACTTAATAAGGGTCAAAACTGTCCAAAACTGCATATGCATTTATTTCAATCAGACATTGAAGCATCGTTAGAATCGTTGCTGTTTAGAAAGAAATTATTACAGACTACTGTCTCTCTGCTTAGCTTAAGCATTAACAATTATTTCTTTATACTAATTTTTTTTTAATTTAATAATTTATAAATATATTTTGATTTTTAAAGGGGAGCAAGATGATATAGGTTAGTATTTGGACGTTTCGTATTTTTTCTTGAATTCAGAAAAGGTATATGCATTTAATTGATAAAGATTTTTCATCAATTGCTTTAAATGAATGTAACAAAAAAATTTCGAAAATTAAGATTTTAACGCCAAAGTCTTTATTTCCAATCTCAGAAAATTTATCTTTCGTATTTTCTATTTTAGAAGGCGCGACATCTTTGACTGTTTTCCCAGTAACTTCCAAAAAAATTCGCGATGCTACCATGAAATTTCCAAGTAAGATCTCTTAGGTTTTCGTGCTGAAAGAAAAGTGGGATGTGTCGAAATACTGTGATAAGCATCAGAAAGCTTATATAAGCTATTAAACTCTGATATTCTTAAGTGAAATATGAAGATAACGAACAGTATTCAATGTCGAAAGTCCAATAAAACGATACAAATTTGAAGCAGGGGAAACACAGACAAAAAAGGAAAATAATGCATTATTACACGTATTTGCATCACTACAATGGACATTATTTTAAATGGTGAAACATCAGATAAAATAATGATTTAATAATACCTCACACAAAAGTAATTCCCTTAAAGGTCAAAAAACAACAAGGTTGCATGAGGATAAATTTCTCAATTGCTTCACATGATGAGAATGAAAACTGTATGATATTTCTATTTTGATTTTTAAAAATTAAAAAAAAAATGTTTAACTTTGAAAATATATCTATACAAATACCAAAAACTACGGATGTAGTTCAAAGTTTGTCTATGTGATTTTTATAAAAACTTTTGGAAACGTTTTTAAAAAAGTAAATCATACAATTATTTAATATTGACATAATGCTTGTGCTAGAAATACTTATAATGAAATTCATTATAATTTCGAAAAGTATAAAAATGAGATTAAGTAAATAAAATGCATGAAGTTGAAAATAAAAAAAAAATCATTTCATCAATCTCTTACGATAAGAAACCTCCACCTCACTGTCCTGAAAAAAAGTGTTTGCATGAAGACTTCTTTTTTCTTTATATCATTACAGTTAACTACGTTTGCCATAGAAGGTCCGGTTTTAAATATCGTTGATATTGTAATACAAGCACCTTGTAAAGGTTTAAAAACAATATGTAAACGTTTTTCTTTTCAAATGAAGATCCCACAAATTTGAGTAAGGAACAAAACGATTATACAGGTATCGCAGCCTCTAGCGCAGGTAAATCTTATAATGTTGAATTGTAATCGATAAGAGTTTCAAACAATAAAATTACAGTTCAGGTCCTCCAATAAAATAAAATATGCATTATTTTGTAATCCTTTTTCCAATGTTTATTTACAATGTTATATGTTGTAAAATGTAAAACCGAAATGTTATTTGCATTTTTTTTGCCTTCGCCGTTGAAATATGAATTAAGTTATAATCTCACAATAGTTACATGTAGTTTGTCTGTCATTCGTTTTCCAAAACATTTCTGCTCGACAGGATCAAATATAAATGTATATGGATTATCAGAAAAGGGGAAATCATGCAAAAAAAGGATAAACAAGATGTATTTGTGAAACACTGATGCCCCCGTATGGCAGCTTATGGCGAAGGTTAAAGTTTCTCAAATGCAAGTCAAAATCCAGGCCAAAAGATAAAAAATGTTAAATTTGTAAGCCCTAGCTGCAACTGTTCAAAAGTTATGGCGAAGGATAAAGTTTTTTAAAAGTAAGTAAAACATCAAAGTCAAGGTCAAAGTTGTTGGTATCCAAAGGAAGGTCTTGTCACAAGGATTACATATGTGACGTATGAAAGCCCTAGCTGCAACCATTCAAAAGTTATGGCCAAGGTTAAAGTTTTTCAAAAGTAGGTCAAACTCCTATGTCAAGGTCAAAGGGTAAAAGTTTTTGGTATTCAAAGGAAGGTGATGTCACAAGGATTACATATGTAAAGTATGAAAGCCCTAGCTCTAACCGTTCAAAAGTTATGGCCAAGGTTAAAGTTTTTCAAAAGTAGGTCAAACTCCTATGTCAAGGTCAAAAGGTCAAAGTGGTTGGTATTCAAAGGAAGGTATTGTCACAAGGATTACATATGTAAAGTATGAAAGCCCTAGCTCTAACCGTTCAAAAGTTATGGCCAAGGTTAAAGTTTTTCAAAAGTAAGTCAAACTCCTAGGTCAAGGTCAAAGGGTCAGAGTGCTTGGTATTCAAAGGAAGGTGATGTCACAAGGATTACATATGTAAAGTATGAAAGCCCTAGCTCTAACCGTTCAAAAGTTATGGCCAAGGTTAAAGTTTTTCAAAAGTAAGTCAAACTCCTAGGTCAAGGTCAAAGGGTCAAAGATATCTAGAGGAAGGACTTGTCACAAGGAATACACATGTGAAGTTTGAAACCCCAAGCACCAACTGTTCAAAAGTTATGGCCAAGGTTAAAGTTTTTCGAAAATAGATCAAACTCCTATGTCAAGGTCAAAGGGTCAAAATGGTTGGTATTCAAAGGAAGGTATTGTCACAAGGATTACATATGTAAAGTATGAAAGCCCTAGCTCTAACCGTTCAGAAGTTATGGCCAAGGTTAAAGTCTCATAAAAGTTTGCAAAAGTGGGTCAAGCTCCAAGGTCAAAAGGTCAAATATGATGGTACCAAAAGAAAGGTCTTGTCACAAGAAATACACATGTGAAATATGAAAGTCATAGCTCCAACCAATCAAAAGTTATGGGCAAGGTTAAAGTTGACAACAGACAGACAGACAAACAGACAAACAGATAAACAGACAAACAGACAAACAGACAGACAGGACAAAAACAATATACCCCCGGGATCTTTCGATCCGGGGGCATAAAAATATTTGAGTTAGGAGTTAAACGTGGCTTCTGCTTGAATTAAATAAATGTCTACTATATAAACTTAAATTTTGATGTTTAGGATCGTAATTAAACGGAAAACAATTTTTCCTACAAGAGATATGAATATAGATGTTTATTTCTATTGGACCTTTCTAGAAAACTTGTATAAAGAGAATTCCCACACATGGCTTTTTGCTTTTATGTATACTGTCAGTGAAATAAATGATTTTTTTGTACCACTACAATAAACATTTGAATTAAATAAATACCAATGAGTGGGTAAGTACCACTCATTCCTTATGCAGCACTTAAATATATAATTTTCTTTTTATCTCATTTCATTGTTAGATTGGGTTTTCATTTTGGTGGCCTCTGCTGGTTTTTGTCTTGGGATTATATGTTGTACACTTGCTTTCCTCGTCATTTACAAATTGAAAAATCGCAAAAACATATACGTGTAAGAAAATGCATGCAAATGTTTTATGATAACTTTTAAAGCATTAGTAAAAACGATATAAAAATGGTTCATCTACTTGAAGATTTGCATATTATACCATTTAAAAAAAATGCTGGACTTCCTTCAAACGTCCCACTTAAGTCTCATTTCACTCTGTAAATTTGTTTTTTTTAATTAGCCCTCATATGTGTGCTGAAGAGTGTCCTGTAACCAATACCACAACACAGATTTACGAAACATCTCACAACAATCCTGGTTTGCGTGAGAATGTAGCTATGAATTTCAAGGTTTTTGCTTCTTTTTAACCATGATCAGTGTCTCTTAATCTGAATTTTGAAGATGATGCAACACATCATTACATTATGTTCTTCTTTCAGTCAAGTCAGGAAGCAAATCCTTATAGCCAAGCTGGAAATACTTCAACAGAGGATGGTGTTTATAATCATTTAAGAGAAAATACTGAAGCTTTCCTAAGCGATGGCTTTTATGATGTCTCTCACTCTACATCCGATTGTATTAATTGGGACTCAAGAAATGGCGACTATGATCTTGCAAAGAATGTTTATCAGACGTCATTATAAATAATGCCACTGAACCCATGGACAGCAATAAATTTCCAACAAATGAAGAAAATATTGCAATAGTTGAAATATGTAAACAATTGCAAAAACATTGCAAAAACATTATGGAATGTTACATAATTATTTTATGAATTGAGTTAATTCTTTTATGACATAGGCGTTTTAAATTTTATAACAAAGACATTGTTCATTTCAATTTGTTCATAGTTATGCATGTTATGTACATATACTTTTAACAAAGAAATTGTAATGACACGAGATCTTAATTGTGGCCTGATCATTTATGAATCACTTGTACATTAATGATGGACAATCGTAGGGGACCAACAATAACCGTTATTTCATTGTACTATTACTAATTATCTGTTAAATTTCCTGAGTATTTGCTAGACTTTCATCAGTCTCCTAGATATGACAAGACAAAGTGGTCTTGAAGTGATATGAATAATTCCAATAAAGGTATTACATATAGATTTTTTTAATGTGAAAAATACTTAACTATTTTACCTCAAAAATTTAGAAATATCTTTTCAAAATTCAGATCAAGTAACCATCGTCTTCCCATAGAGGTGGGTACGTAGATGGAATAATGTTGAAAGAAATGAAAGAGTGTGCTATTTATGTAATGATAATCAAATTGGAGACGAATTTCATTACTTACAGGAATTTAATGTATTATTAATGTATTATGTAAAATTTGAAAAGATTTTCTGTTAAAGAAATACTATGTACATCCAAAATTATAAAATTTTGTAATTTGATGACAAATACTCATCCAGCATTCTTGAGAGAATTGTGTATATTTATCACCAAAATAAACAATCTGAATGTCTTGAAGAGAAAATTTCAGCAACATATTCAATGCTGTTGTACATAATTATAACTATGCTTAAAACGTGGCAATATTTTTCACACATGGTTTCGGAATTTCCAAATCTCTGATATAGTACCGTAGCAATAGACTCTAGATTCCCAATAAATACTCCCCCCCCCCCCCCAAAAAAAAAAAAACAAACAAAAAAAAAAAAAAACAAAAAAACAAAAGCTAAATATAGAATCTCTTCTTCATAAGAATACTATGACTAGGACCTCTTAAAGATATGTTCCTTTCAACATTTTATCAATTAACATTATTTTATGTTAATCAATAAGACACACAATCGGCTTCATAATGTTTAGAGTCTGAAGTTTCCAGACAATTTTCTTTTGAGGCACTTTTCAATATTAAAATTGCCGTACAGATACAAAATGTTTTTGGTATTGTGTCAAAGAAAAATGTTTATTTTTCATAATATTTGTACACAATAACATATTTTGATATTAAAATAACCACATGTACTCATCATGCGCGGATCTAGAGGGGGGTGGGGGGGGTGGCCTCCCTGGAATTTGCAGTTATTAAAAGTATAAACTGAAGGAAATAAAAAATGACTGGACCCCCCTTAGAAAACGTGGATTCCATCATCGCCACCACGAAACAGGTGCTTTTTGACGTTGGGAATTGGACTTTACGTGTTGTTTTTTATTTTTGCTTGTCAACTAATTTTTGGGGTTATAGATACGTTTGGGAAGGGAATTTAGTTTAGTTTAGTTTTTTTTCTTTTTTTCTTTTTTCTTTTTTTCTTTTTGCTTGTCAAGAAATTTTTGGGTTGGAAATTTTTTGACTTGCGTGGAATGCTCCCCCCAACCTCCCTGGAAAAAATTCTTGGTTCCGCGCATGCGCATGACAGGTTGCAAAAAGCAGTACATGTATAAATTTTAAAGTGGAAAAAATATGTGTTAAAATTACGGAAGCGTATAAGTGCCATTTTGACACTTTTTATTTTTTAATTTCTACATTTCAATGTGTAAAATTTACACTTTAATCTGTAAATTTTACACTTGTATAATTTACACTTTAATCTGTAATTTTTACACTCTAATCTGTAAAATTTAAACTTAAATCTGTGAAATTTACACTTTAATCTGTATTTTTTACACTTAAATCTAGGAAATCTCTTACTTTTTTCTTCTTTAAATCTGCAAAAATTTTAACTGCCTGTTTGTCAGATTAGGTAAAAAAAAAGTTGAATGTTTTACAGTAAATTTTGTATAGCAATGTTTGGGAGAAAGTGTAGGCAGTCCCAAATACAAGTAAAGTTGAAAGGATTGAGGCGGGGTAGCAATTGTCTATATCTACTGTAGGGAAATACCTGAACTTCCTATTATAAGGTTTAATATGATTGGAGTAAGTGTCCAGACCCAAATTAAAAGATATTAGGGGTATAGCGACAAGTTGATATATGGGATGCGTTGTGATACAGAGGGGGTTGATACGATGCATTTATATATAAAACGTAGAATCGATATTTTTAGGTCACCTGAGATACTCAGGTGACTTACTGCTGATTTTGCCCGTTCGTTGTTCATTAACATTTGATCATTTTCAGCTTCTACGCTTGAACCGCGGAACCAATTTCAACCAGTTTTGGCATATACCATCCATGGCTGAAGGGGAACAACAATTTTGAATTTCATGGTCACTGCTCCACTGTGGCCTGAGGGTTAGGCCTAAAACCATCAAAATAAATGTTATCTTAAAGAATCTTCTTCATTACTTGGATATATTGTAATAAGTATTAAGTTCTGTAATAAGCATATGGGTTCTGGTGTTAGGGCGGTGCTATGTTAAATCTATGGAGAAAATGCTTTATTTCTTTGAAAATATTCTTATCTGCTCCTGGGCATCTAGCGGGTAAACAGGTACAAAGTTGAGATATGCAGGGGTAATATCACCCGATTTTTGAAAAACTGAACCACGTGGTCTGGTGCTGGGAAAGTCTCTATTTTTATTCTACTGAAAGAATTTATTTCCTTTTGCTTTTCACCCGTGATAATTAATCACCGTAAATAATGCAACTGAAAGGTTAATAGAATAAGAGAATTATACAGTTATTTCATAATATATCATACAAATTATTCTTTCATAGATTTTATTGCTCACATAGCCTTGTACATAAATAGTAGATAAATAAAAATTCGACAAAATACCTCATTTTTGTATATTGAATGTTCTTCAAATACAAAGAAAGGTCAATGTGATGGGTGTGTTTAATTTGAATTTCCTGCCATCCGACAAATAATTCATAACAAGCGATTTCATTGGTCTGTAGAGACATTGTATAGATGGTTCAGAGGTGGATAAAATATACAGGTTGGTAAAAGAATATGCCTAGAATTAGGGAATAAGAGGTGGTTGATTCTCCAATGCTGGAAAGTGGAGAAATACATCCCCAAAGTGCCCAGAAATTCTTGCGCTGTAAATTGCACTTTATTTGCATTACAGGATCTGTAGTGTTATGGTCAAAGACTAAAATATAGAACTATAACGCTACAGTTCTGCAGCTACCCAGATTTCCACGCCCCATGAAACTGTATATCCAATAATTCGAGACATCTATGATGTAAGCAACTTGTCACATATCTGATGGCACGTGTGTCAGGAGTAAAAAATCTAGTCATTTTAGAAGTTGTGAGGGAACAGGTCTGACGTTATGGAATTGGATTAGATCAGTTTGGAAATTTTAACACATTTCGAGGATTTGGATTATTTGTTGTTTACCAAAGCATAGGGGCTTGTCTTCCGGATTGTTAAATGAAAATAATTTTTTTAAAAAATTGAATCTTCTTTAAATACACTTAAAAGTTGCTAAAATAGAGATTCTGACGCTTTCAGTCAAGAAAAACCACGTTTATGAAAGACGTACTACACCTATATCCATAAACTCTACAAGGGACGAGTTTATGTATATAGGTGTGGTGATAATGTATCTAGGGATGGAAACAGCCACACTTTCTTCTGATGCTGGATCTGGCCTAGATTTTCCAGATGAGCAGAGTGACCAGGTTACAGTTTTTGGAGCAGGTCCATTCCCAAGTAACTATAAACCCTACCTGGACCAACTTGCATGGACGATGCATCTAGGGATGGAAACTACCACACTTGCTTCTGATGCTGGTGTCTCAAGACCCATACAACAAAGAAGGACGAGTACTCCGTTTACAAGACGAACAGATAGAGTGCTTGGTAATGCAAGTACAGAGGATGTATGCACATGTAATGAAACTGATGATAGATCTGGAAATCGAAGACAGACTTCGGCACGTAGAAAATCTAGGTCGGATCCCTAGAGGCATTATCGAAGCAAGTTGGCTTATAGTCACTTGGGAATGGACCTGCTCCAAAAACTTTAACCTTGTTACTCATCTGGAATTCTAGGTCATATCCAGCATCCGAAGCAAGTTTGGTAGTGTCCATCCCTAGATGCATCATCCGTGCAACTTTGGTCCAGGTAGTGCTTATAGTTATTTGGCAATGGACCTGCTCCAAAAACTTTAACCTGGTCACTCATCTGGAAAATCTAGGTCAGATCCAGCATCAGAAGTAAGTGTGGTAGTTTCCATACCTGGATGCATTATCGAAGCAAGTTTGGCCCAGGTAAGGCTTATAGTTACTTGGGAATGGATCTGCTCCAAAACTTTAACCTGGTCACGCATCTGGAAAATCTAGGCCAGATCCAGCATCAGAAGCAAGTGTGGTAGTTTCCATCCCTAGATGCACCATCTATGTATGCAAGTTTTATCATAACAGGCCATAATATTATATAGCTATACTCCAAAAAAAAAAATAAAAAATAAAAAAAATAAACCCTGGTTAGTCTTCTGGAAAAGGGGTTATATTTAGCCGCGTCTCTTAGAGGGCTAGCACAAGGTGTGCTGGGTAATCAGTCCAGGGATGAGAGACAGAACTTTGCAAAATTAGATAATGCTTCACAGGATAGATTTGCTCCATTGAACCAGACAGAGCTGTATCGGACCCAGCGCAGCGAAAGGAGACAAAAAGCTGCAGAGAGTTTACCAGAGATGGGCCCATATATAAGGAGGCTTGTGAACTTAGCCTTTCCTACAGCACCGGATAATGTACGTGAGATCCTTGCCACAGAACAGTTTTAGACGGACTGCATAATGCAGAAATGCGTCT